CCATCTCTATTAAAAATACAAAAAATTAGCTGGGCATGGTGGCGTGTGTCTGTAATCCCAGCTACTTAGGAGGCTGAGGCAGGAGAATTGCCTGAACCCAGGGGGCGGAGGTTGCAGTGAGCCGAGATCGCGCCATTGACTCCAGCCTGGGTAACAAGAGTGAAACTCTGTCTCAAAAAAAAAAAGAAAGAATTCCATTTATGTATGAGAGCAAAGGAATTTAAAAGGTAACTGTGATACAAAAAGAACAGTGGTAGCCAAGTTGGAACTAAACTTATAGAGATTGTAAGTGATGGCTCATGCCTGTAATCCTAGCACTTTGGGAAGCTGAGGTGGAAGGATCTTTGAGCTCAGGAATTCAAGACCGGCCTGGGCAACATAGTGAAACCATGTCTCTATTATTTTTAAAAATAAAAAAATATTGGCCAGGCGCGGTGGCTCAAGCCTGTAATCCCAGCACTTTGGGAGGCCAAGGCGGGTGGATCACGAGGTAAAGAGATCGAGACCATCCTGGTCAACATGGTGAAACCACGTCTCTACTAAAGATACAAAAAATTAGCTGGGCATGGTGGCGTGTGCCTGTAATCCCAGCTATGCAGGAGGCTGAGGCAGGAGAATTGCCCGAACCCAGGCTGCGCAGGTTGCGGTGAGCCGAGATCGTGCCATTGCACTCCAGCCTGGGTAACAAGAGCGAAACTCCGTCTCAAAAAATATATAATAATAAATAATAAAATAAATAAATAAAAATAAAAAAATATTTTATATAAAAAATTAAAAATAAAAAGAATATATAAGGACTATGTATTTATAACCTTATAAAGATTATATAGTTATAAACATAAAAATTAATATAAGCTACATTATAAAAACATAATCAACTGAAACAAACTTTCAAATTATTATTATTTTTGAGAGATGGGGTCCTGTTCTGTTGCCCAAGTTGGAGTTCCAATGGCATGATCTTTTTTTTAAAAAAAGTATAGGGCCGGGCACGGTGGCTTACACCTGTAATCCCAGCACTTTGGGAGGCCAAGGCAGGTGGATCACCAGGTCAAGAGATGGAGACCATCCTGGTCAACACGGTGAAATCCCGTCTCTACTAAAAATACAAAAAATTAGCTGGGCATGATGGCGCGTGCCTGTAGTCCCAGCTACTCAGGAGGCTGAGGCAGGAGAATTGCCTGAACCCAGAAGGCAGAGGTTGCAGTGAGCCGAGATAGCACCATTGCACTCCAGCCTGGGTAACAAGAGCGAAACTCCGTCTCAAAAAAAAAAAAAAAAGTATAGATGCCATCACACACACTTTTGTTTATTTCAATTATAACTGGCACATAGTAGGGATTAAACATTTGTTAAATGATTATATGTATCTTTAAAATTAAATCACTCTCTGACTTTATAAAACCACTATCAAGATAAGTGAAGAAATAAAATATTTTATTTTTTAGGATATTCTTTCTGACCTAGTATGTTTCAGTGTTTAAACATTCACATTTATATCTCTATGCCACTTTTTTGTTGACACAGCTACTGGACTGAGCATCAGACATTTCTGCGAGCTGGCAGTGAGTACGTAAGTACTTTTTTGTATCAAATCTATGATGCCATCATTCTTAAGATGCACCTTTATTTTATGAATAGTAAGAAACAAAAAACACTATGGTACCCCATCAAAATATTTGATTTCAGAGAACTTACAATAATGTGTGCATCTTGAAATCCATGAAATGTGGCAGTTCCAGATATCTCAAAGTCTTACAGCTTTACAGTCTTACACAGAACTCTTATTACATATCAAGTACCATAAGTGTTTTTACATGTATTCTCTCATTTATTCTTCAAGAAATGCCATAAGATAGATGCTGTCTTCATTTTCATTTTGTACAGGGAAACAAGGTACAGAAAGGTTTAAAAACCTGTTCATAACCAAACAACGAGTAAGTAAAAAAGACAGGATTTGAATAAAATAGACTGACTTCCCAGTATATTCTCTAATTTATCCTTACTGCCTGAGAAAAAGATTATTAGTCCCTTCAGAAGAGAAAAAGTGGTCCCTGGCACGAAACTCTTAAGGAAATCTATCAAGTTGGAGGATACAAAATGTCCTTGTTGTCAGATAAAGTCCTGTGTTGTGCTATATGCAATGGAGAGTCACCTGAGGGTTTTTAGCAAGGGAGAGACACAACTGGATTTCCAACAAATCTGATCCAACAAAAGAATTTGTAATATCTGAAAAAAAAAATAGATCACACATTCCTTAGCTAGTCTTTTCTAAATCTCATTTTACTTATCATTAACTTTGGTGTGATGTCTGAATGCATTTGAAGCATCTTTGAAAGGAACATGCCACATCTTTTGGCCAACCCCACATCTTACCCTCGTGTAGTTCGTGCTGTTACTATAAGTTGCAAAGCTTTGGCCTGTAGCCTCATGTGATGTATAATCACCACCTGCTTATTCTCCACACCACTGTACATGAACTCCATTTTGTAGGTCTCTTCCATAATCTATAAAGAAAAGGTAATTAATAATCAATAAAAGTATCAGTCTTACTTGAGAGCAGCATAGAATTCTACTGTTAAATAACCTAAGGTGAAACTCTAAACTGAAATTTTACATCCCTATGCTTTTAAGTGTTGAAAGAAATTAGTATAGTATGCCTTGTGAAAAGCGAATAAATTATTTTGCCTATTTAAAAAGAAGACAGACCTGGTAATAAAATCATCTTAGTTGATGATGTGAAGATAAGAAAATTTAATCACTTAAGCAAACTGCAAAGCCAGCACTGCTTGTTACCTTAAACCAAACTCACTCTGCCATGGGAACAAATTAATATATATTATATGTGGAAACCCAATCCCCAAGAAATCCTCAAGAATTAAACATCAGGAACTATTAACCATATGTTAGTTATCCTGATAGACTGTTCTGTGGGCTTGGTCTGAGGGAGTCTGGGAAGGAAATAACTGCAAGAAAACATTGTCTATGACCCCAGATCAAGTCCCCGATCTTGCTCAGTTCTATCTAAATAAGCTACTTTCATAAAAATGATGCTTCTCTTTCCCTTCAGTGCTTGCCTCTCTGTGAACACTCTGGGGTCAGAGAAATGACTCCAGACTCTCTTACAACTGGCAATAAGACAAATTAAATTACATGAATGTCTCAATCCCTTTCTGTAAACAGGGGAAGAAATAGCACCAACATCATGAAGTTTAAAGTATCAAATGGGGCATGCAACGTGCTTATCACAGTATCTGTGATATACAGCAATGGTAATTCCTTTCCTCTTTTCCTTCCAAATTATTGCTCCCTGGTCCTGTCTTTCCAGTGTGGCTCAATTACTGTGTTCTAGTCATTAAATTGCACTCCTCTACAATAAGCCACATACCAGGTCTGAGAGAGAGTCTGGATCAGGCAAGAGTTCAGTACTGTAGTAGAAAATAGATTCTGGGTATCAGAGGATCTGGTCTCCAGTACTGATTGTATTACCTATAGCTCTATGAATTTAACCTTGCTGAGCCTTAACTGCCTCATCTCTAAAATAGAATTAGTACTTATTCCTATCTAATGAGATTATTATGAGGGGTAATTAAGCTAATAGACTTAAAATCATTTAGTGAACTGTAACAATCACTGTCACCATCATTAGCTTCCTCCTGGGTCATTTACAGACTTCCTATCTGGAAGACTTGACCTGCAAGAGATCACCAAGTCTCAATACTTACATGCAAAAGGGAACTGCTCAAAGCTAAAAAGAAATAAACTATTAACAAAAAATATAAAACCTGCTTAATGAACTACCGAGAAATGTAAGGACCTTTTAGCACTAAAGTGATGGTACAGGCTAAAGATATAAATAACCTAAATTGAGTTCAGCTACATTTTCAGATAAAAGATTCATGATGGTAGAGACAGCGTTTCACCATGTTGGCCAGGCTGGTCTCAAACTCCTCACCTCAAGTAATGTGCCTGCCTCAGCCTCCCAAAGTGCTGGGATTACATGCGTGAGCCACCATGCCTGGCCCAACTGCCATATTTTATAGAAGAGGAAAAATCCAGGGAAGTTAAGTAACTTGTTCAATGTCACTCAGCAAATCTGAGGCAGACCTGGGACTAGGACCCAGGTCCCCTGACTCCAAAGTGAGTGCTGTGTCCCCCAGTTATGCTCCTTCTCATATCACTAACTTCTGTCATAGCCTAAAATGAGGGAGGCCACGCAGAGGTATAGAGCTATAGGAAGGCCTCTGGCTCTGCCTTGGACTGGACAATTCCTGGACAGAGACCTATTTGAAAGAAAGGTCTGAATAGCTTACCTGTTTCGCTGCTGCTGAGGCCAAATCACTCTGCTTCAAATACAAAGGGGCAGCCACATTCCACAACTTTTCCTGCAAGGCCTACACAGACAAATCAGGAGGGAAGAGAACATAGAGGTCACAAAGACTGGCATATCATTTGGGATTTACATTTTTGTTTTCTTTTGAAAGTCTGCCATGAACAGGACTTCTCAATTAATCTTATTCTTGTAACCCAATAAGCTGTATTTATTATGGAGAGAGATGAAACCAACGGTTTGGGCTAAATGAATTCCTGCCCATTTGATCCAATTTCTAGTCCAAAGGTCCTGTATCCCATATCAGTGCTTCTGGAAGCAGAGTACAGGAACCATGAAGGCTTCACCAGAATGTGCAGGCAAGCCAGCTTCCAGGCTCTACGCACTCCTTGTTCCCAGAGTCACTGGACTAACCTGAACCACCTAGATCCTTCTTCCGTGACTGTGGTTCTTTTTTCCTTTTCTCTATGCTCATTATGTTACGAATAACACTGCCCCCAAACACTTTACAAATATATTCAACTAGAAATCAGGCAACTTTCCTAGATTTCTCCATCTTTCAATCACTCTACATTTAAAACATCACTAAGAGCCACAATCTTACCTTTCATCTCTCTCCTCACCTATCCACCCACATGATCTCATCTCTTGCATAACTATTACCTTGTAATTTTTTTTTTTTTTTTTTTTTTTTAATGATTGAACAGAATTTATTGGTTGTCTCCGAGTATCTCTGGTTCGGCTTTGGCAGGGCTGTCTGGTTTCCTTTGCTTTGCTTGTTTTTGGGCTGCTGCTGTAGCCTTTAAAGCTCTTTTTTGCTTCTTCAGCTTTTGAGTCTCCTGGAAAACCCGAATGCACAGAGCCTTCTTGGTCACGAATCGGCGGTGGGCTCTTCGGTAATATAGAGGTGGGAAGGTGTACTCAATCCCCAGCTCCTTGCATACCTTCTCATAGACATCATAGTTGGTGTTACGGAGGTTTTTGAGCATCTTTTTCCTCTGGTCGATGCTCATCAGTAGATAGCATTTGGGGGCTTTGTCCTTTCGATGTTTCTGCATGTGTTCTTCATAACTGGGGATCTTGATGGTCAAGGCAACAATTCGAGCCTCCAGGGATCTGGTGTCCTCAGGGTTTTCAACAATCTTTTTCATCAACTGTTCTTGTATGACTTTTAGCTTCTCCTTCTTTTTGGCCATTTCCAAAGACAAGAGTCTTTTCACAACATCATCAACCTTCTCAATTCCAGGGACATTCTGGTAGTCTTGAAGCAGCGTAGAAGGAGGCGGGTCATCATCTTGCCTGGGCAGGACTGCTGGTTTCTGGATGACATATCTGCGCGTGGCCTGGAGGAGACTTCGAGGCTGCAGGCCCCACTGGTTGGAAGGAAATCTGGCGCTCCCACAGCTCGGCAGCCCGGGGCCTGAGGCCTGGGTGACTGCCTGGGTCTGAATCAAACTCAGCATCCTCCACGCGGCCCTTAGCATGGTGACCTCTAACCCCCAAGGGGCTCGCGCCGCGGCCACCGTTTCCTTTGCTGCACAGACCGGGTTACATGGGCCTACCTTGTAATTTATTTGGAAATTAAGTATGGCTTAAGGAGATGCGTTTGAGTGCCAAGTTGACAAGGGGTGAACTTATGGACCTAATTTTACGTATCAACTTGACTAGATTAAGGAATACCGGAAACCTGGTAAAACATTATTTTGTTTTACACAGTCAGGGTGTGTCTGTGAGGGTATTTCCAGAGGTTAGTGTGTAAATCTGAGTGTACTAGATGGAAACTATCTGCCCTCAATGTTAGCGGACACCATCCAGCCAGTGGCCAGGAGGGAACAAATACAAAAGACAAAATGGGCAGGGCAAAATGGCTCATGCCAGTAATCCCAGCACTTTGGGAGGCTAAGGTGGGTCGATCACCTGAGGTCAGGAGTTCCAGACCAGCCTGACTAACAGGGCAAAACCCTGGCGACTAAAAATACAAAAATTAGCCAGGTGTGGTGGTTCATGCCTGTAATTCCAGCTACTTGGGAGGCCGAGACAGGAGAATCGCTTGAAGCGAAGAACAAGAGATTGCAGCAGTGAGCTAAGATCACGCCACTGCACTCCAGCCTGGGTGACAGACTGTCTCAAAGAAAAAAAAAAGACAAAATAGCAAAATGGATTCTCTGGGTTCTGCTGCTTGGATATCAGAAATCTGACTCCATGAAAGTACATCATCACAATACTGACTGTGTATAAGCATTGAGTGTGTACATAAAACGTTGTCACTTCCTCAATAAATGAAGAGATATCCTTTACATACATCTGCATTTGTAAAAGATAAAATTTCCTGAGATCTCAGCTCTTTGAGTGACTGCATATGCAGTGGTGACCCATCATGGTTTTGATCAATCTCGTCAAAAGACTTAAGGTTGTTGGGCACAGTATTTCAGATGACCACAGTTAAAAAGCTGTGTATATACAATTAACAACCATAGTGATATGCATTTATACCTTTCCCATTATGACCAATTTCTTCATAAATATGGTTCATATGCTCATAACTATTAGACCTACCCAACTGTCATTAGTAACCTGAATGTTTATGCCTGCAAAAACGTATGTTATTATTGTCTGTTTTATAAGGTAGTATATATTGTTGTGTTTTTATGTTTCTCAAATAAATTTCTTTTAAAAACATAAATAAAGGTCTTTAAATTTTAAATTTTTTTTTTTAATTTTTTTTTTCTTTTGAGACAGAGTATCGTACTGTCGCCCAGGCTGTAGTGCAGTGGCGCAATCTTAGCTCACTGCAATCTCCGCCTTCTGGATTCAAGCAATTCTCCTGACTCAGCCTCCCAAGTAGCTGGGACTACAGGTGTGTGCCACTGTGCCCAGCTAATTTTTTTGTATTTTTAGTAAAGACAGGCTTTCACCACGTTGGCCAGGATGGTCTTGATCTCTGACCTCAAGATCCACCTGCCTCAGCCTCCCAAAATGCTGGGAATACAGGCGTGACCTACCACGCCTGGCCTTTAAATTTTTTAAATTATTTTTTCCATAATTTTATTTTGGGGATTTTGATCTTTTCCAGGCTATGGTTTTTGGGATTTCAGACTTCAGGGATTTTGTTCTTTTGGAATTTCAACAGTTTGGGAGCATGACGTTCTGGACTGTCTTTTGGGATTATGATTGGCTCCCCTTCTTTTGGGTACATAACATTACACCCTAAGTATTTTGTCATGTTGTTGTATAATTCTTTGTAAAGATCATTACTGGCTATAGAATATACTGCTAGGTAGCTGTGCCACAATTTATTTACCTTTCTTCCTGTTATTAAACACTCTTGCCTTGGGTTCCGGCTCTGAGCCCCTTACCTACACTGTCATTCCTTGTCATTAAATAACCAACAATTATGTGTTCTTTTTAGGAGTAATCACTTCTCTTTTCTCACCCATCTTCTGCTACCATAGAAAAGTAGATTCTTTTCCAAGGCCTCCTTGAATTCCTAGGGTTTCACAGAGACTTGGAAAAGCCAAATAACTTTGCAAAGGGGCATGAAGGAACTTCTTGGAGTGATGAAAATGTTCTATGACTTGCCTGTGGTGGTGATTACACAGATATATACATTAGAAAGAATATATCTAGTTTAACAAGGACCATTTAAATATGAAGCATACATACCCACCTTTACATAAGTATACACACCTGTACAACTGTATAACAGCACAAGTTCACAGAGTAGAAAATAACTTTTGACTCCCCTATTTATTCTGACTTTAATCAAATATCATTAATTACTTTAAAAACAACATTTTCAACTAGGGACAAGATAAAGGTTTGTCAAGTAAAAAGGGCTCTCCTAAATTCTGTGCCAAAATTTATAGTAAAATTCTCCTACAGAAGCTGAAAGATACTGAACTAATTTAATTGTTCTAACTCAGCAAAACTAAATAGATTCTTGGGTACCAATTCTGTATATACCTGACTACTAAGTATGAAATGCTAGCAAGTTGGTCCTTTTAAGAGCAATGAAATTAACCTTTCAACTACGATGAAGCGCAGTGAGCTTTTTTTTTTTTTTTTTTGAGACGGAGTTTCGCTCTTGTTACCCAGGCTGGAGTGCAATGGCGCAATCTCGGCTCACCGCAACCTCCGCCCCCTGGGTTCAGGCAATTCTCCTGCCTCAGCCTCCTGAGTAGCTGGGATTACAGGCACGCGCCACTGTGCCCAGCTAATTTTTTGTAATTTTTAGTAGAGACGGGGTTTCACCATGTTGACCAGGATGGTCTCGATCTGTTGACCTCGTGATCCACCCGCCTCGGCCTCCCAAAGTGCTGGGATTACAGGCTTGAGCCACCGCGCCCGGCCACTTTTTTTGTTTTAAGACAGGATCTTGCTCTGTCACCCAGGCTGAAACGCAATCTCACTGCAGCCTTGACCTCCTAGGCTCAAGCAGTCCTCCCAATTCAGCCTCCCAAGTAGCTAGGATTATAGGAATGCATCACCACATCCGGCTATTGTTTAATTTTCTAGTAGAGATGAGGTATCATTATGTTGCCCAGGCTGGTCTCAAACTCTTAGGCTCAAGCGATCCTCCTGCTTTGGCCTCTCAAAGTGCTAAGATTACAGATGTGAGCCACTGCACCCGACCTTGAAATGAGCATTTTAAGAAAATAGTCTAGCCAGGCGCGGTGGCTCAAGCCTGTAATCCTAGCACTTTGGGAGGCCGAGGCAGGTGCATCACGAGGTCAAGAGATCAAGACCATCCTGGTCAACATGGTGAAACCCCGTCTCTACTAAAAATACAAAAAATTAGCTGGGCATGGTGGCGCGTGCCTGTAATCCCAGCTACTCAGGAGGCTGAGACAGGAGAATTGCCTGAACCCAGGAGGCGGAGGTTGCCGTGAGCCGAGATCACGCCATTCATTGCACTCCAGCCTGGGTAACAAGAGTGAAACTCCGTCTCAAAAAAAAAAAAGAAAACAGTCTAAAACTTTATGCAATTCCTTTGCTAATCAAATTACACAAAACATTTACAATCCTTGGCATTCTAACTAAAATGATTATCCAATCTGCTCTAATTATATTATGATAAAATAATTCTCCCAAAATTTACAAATTCAGATTCCTATTAGTTAATATTTCATTAATTAGAGACAAATGTAATCACACTGCAGAATACATAATTTCTCCATCGTCAAGTGGCTGCATTAAGACCATAAGTTTTGCAACTTATGATCTCACACACTGCTGGATCCACAAAAGTGCTTTTTTGCATCACAATCATAAACAGAATGGATGCAAACCAACCTTGATGAGAAGTAGTTGACAGCGAAGGTAGGTGGCAGAGAAATCAGCTACTCCTGCCAATTCAGACTGAAGTTCTCCAAGTCTTTGCAGATCCCTATGGTAAATAAAACCCCAAGCCAAACACAGGATAAGGATAATGCCACCAACATAAAGATCATGTCAAAGCATTTTACCATTTTATACCTCGTAAACTGGTCATAATTTTTTCTTTTTTTGAGACAGAGTCTCGCACTGTCACTCACTGCAACCTCTGCCTCTCGTTTTTAAGTGATTTTCCTGCCTCAACCTGTAGCTGGGATTATAGACGCCTGCCACCACACCCAACTAATTTTTTGCATTTTTAGTAGAGATGAGGTTTTACCATATTGGCCAGGCTGGTCTCAAACTCCTGACCTCAGGTGATCTGCCCGCCCTGACCTCCCAAAGTGCTAGGATTACAGGCGTGAGCCACCATACCTGGCCACTGGTCATAAATTTTTAAATGACAACACTGAATGCTGGAGTGGTTATAATAAAATTGGTTCACTCACACTTTGATAGTAGTTTAAGCTGATGTAACCCTTTTGGAAAGCAAAACCATACTGTTATAAAGCCACATCTGTGGTAAAATAGTTTGACTGATAGCTTTATGCTGAAAAATAATACTAAGAGAAACATTCAACAGAAATGAAATGCTTTATGCCCCATAATACTCATTGTTATGGGGACTATTACAGTAAAAAACTCAGTAACTACTTATTAATGGTGAAAGAACTACTGAATAAATTACAGTACAATCCAGTAATTTTTTTTTCCTTGAGACAGAATCTTGCTCTGTCACCCAGGCTGAAGGGCAGTGGCTCAATAACGGCTTACTGCAACCTCTGCCTTCCAGGTTCAAGCTATTCCCCTGCCCCAGCCTCCCAAGTAGCTGGGATTACAGGCACATGCCACAATGCCCAGCTAATTTTTGTATTTTTGGTAGAGACAGGGTTTAACCATGTTGGTGAGGCTGTTCTCAAACTCCTGATCTTGTGATCTGCCTGCCTCAGCCTCCCAAAGTGCTGGGATTACAGGCATGAGCCACTGAGACTTGCCTATGTAAATATTTTATAGCCATTAAAATACAAAATGGTTAAGTTAATAAGGTATATGATTGCAACTATGTAAAAACTATATAGAGGAGAAAAATACATCAAGGTGGTTTTCTGGATAGTGGTAATAGGGTGCTCGTTAGTACCTTCTCCCTATGCTTTATTTTCCAAGTTTTCTTTTCTGTTTTTTTGAGACGGAGTTTCGCTCTTGTTATTCAGGCTGGAATGCAATGGTGCGATCTCAGCTCACCGCAACCTCTGCCTCCTGGGTTCAGGCAATTTTCCTGCCTCAGCCTCCTGAGTAGCTGGGATTACAGGCACGCGCCACCATGCCCAGCTAATTTTTTGTATTTTTAGTAGAGACGGGGTTTCACCATGTTGACCAGGATGGTCTTGATCTTTTGACCTTGTGATCCACCCGCCTCGGCCTCCCAAAGTGCTGGGATTACAGGCTTGAGCCACCATGCCCGGCCTATTTTCCAAGTTTTTAAGACAGTGAACAAATATTTTTTTGTATCAGAAAAAGAAAAAAACATTATTTTTTAAAAAGGTATTATGATAGACACTGTTGGTTGCCTGTCCAGTTAGCCATTCTCCTCTTCTTTATTACTAACTGAACTCCGATTTTGTTCAAAGAAGCATGTCCACGAACTCAATTCCAGGTACTATCTGACTGAACTAAGCCAATTAGTGCACTTTATCTACCTGGATATGTGACCTGAGTTGAACTTATCAGTTCAGATGCAAGGACTTATATTCCATGCTTAGAACAAATTAGTGTGTCTGTCTGTCTCTTGCTAGATTGGACAAGGATGCTTATAGCCCTGATTGCCAATGGCAGCATACTGCAACTCTAAGGGGAAAAAACCTTAAGATAAAGCCAATGCTGAAGACAAGAAAAGTCCAAAGAGAAAGAGAGAAACTGGGTCCTCAATTATATAAGTAAGCCACTTAATTATACCGTATCTCCAATTTCTGGTGATCTACAAAAATATCTTAAGTCATTTAGCTGCTATAACAACGTATCATAGACTGGGTGGCTTTTAAACAACCAAAATTTATTTCTCACAGTTATATAGGCTGGGAAGTACAATATCAAGGCACCTACAGATTTGGTTTCTAGTTAGGGCCCATTTCATAGTTAGCACCTTCTACATGCACCTTCATATGGTGCATGTCATAAACGAGCTCCCTTAGGCCTCTTTTATATGGGCATTAATCTCATTCATGAGGGTTCTACTCTCATGACCTAATCACCTCCCAAAGACCTCACTTCCTAATACTACCTTGGGGGTCAGTATATGAATCTGGGGGAGATATAAACTCTCAGATCA